CTGATCTAAGTCAGGGCATGACTAACTTACAGATAGAACCCTGAAACAACCTCTGGGCTGATCTAAGTCAGGGCATGACTAACTTACAGATAGAAATATTTTTTATTTTATTATCATTTAATTTTTTCTCTTTCTGAGGGCCGTATGTTAGATAATTCTTGTAAGTTAATACGTCTATCAAATAGAATTTAGCGTGTTAGGTAGACTGTTAGGTACCGGTTGTGAAGGGATAGAACTTGGAGAAACTGAACCCTTAAAATCAAGGGAAAGACCCTACAAGACTCTACTCACATATGATGCAAAAACCACACAAAAATATTCTATTTGTAACTGAATTAAATACAAACTATAACAAGGTCTCTCGTCGCCTGCCCAAAGGCGTACGGCGACATGCATGTAGTATAGTATTCCCTCTAATATACCCCCCAAGGGGCCTAAGAAGGGGGGGGGGGGGTAATTAGAGGTTGGTCCTAACTTGGCAGCTCATAATTACTTTTATTCATAGTCTCCCACAGGTGAAATGACTTTCAAAGTCCTGCCAAGGGAAAAGGACCATCACAATGTTCCTTAGGGGGGAGGCTTAATAGAGGCTGGAGGCTGGAATTAGAAGGATGGGACGAAGGGGGGCTTATCGAAGGTTGGGCTTTTTAAAAGCTGCGGGCTTAGAGATGAAAATATGCTAGTTGGGTATATATATATGTGTGTGTATGCAAAGACCAGTGAATATGGGCCACATTGAAGAATGGAATTTGATAATTGGTTTAGTTATGTCAATGTTATAATATTATTTCACTGATCGATACTACAACCCACCCACCCCTCCCCTCCCCTCACAAAGTGTCATCATCAGTCTTGTCATATCGTGACATGGACAAACGATCTTACTCTAAACGTCCCGTAGGTAATACCAGACTGCCCTTCACTTTCAACACGTTGTAGTTGGTTTCTACCGAGATCCATCATCAATTCTAAGAATCATGACGTCATAAGCATAAAAATCATGAGCAATTAGTCTTCGAGCTCGAATGAACTATTGACTCATAGGCCATGAGGAAAAGAGGACTAATTAGTCAAATATACTTATTTAACCTAGAAAGCTGTGATCGCTGAGAATCATGGGAAATATTTTATATCCAACAAGTAAAGCTTTTGACACAAACTGCAGCAGTTGAGGATGCTCAGAGGAGGTGAACTTGTAACTGGTAGAAGATCTCGAGTCCATCAACAGTTATCAAGCAGTTGAAACATGTAAAATGTATCTATCCGTTATCCTTGTCGGTCTCAGCTGTGTAGCTTTTCAGGTGACGAACTTTATTGAAATAAGTGTATACATAATCGGTCAAATATATAGATACAAACAAGTTTTGAACTGAAGTTAAATTCAATGTTTTGGCTTTCAAAGCCGGCACTTTTCGCTACTAGTAGGATTATATAGGCTAGTAGTAACTCATCCAATCAGAACCCAGCATTGATGATAGACCACTGGTTGAATTTGACGTATGCCGCTATTTCAAAACAACATTGAAGGAGCGAACAACAAATGGCGATCGGTGATTGGCGGTCGCACGACCGAAAGGCACAGTAGGCATGCATCTAAACACGAATATCCAGGCGTTGCAAATGGTTTCGTCGACTATGTGCACACTAAATATCTCAACATCTGTGTTCTTGACAAGAATAATGAGAAGAAACCAAGTCATTCCATATATCTTTGCATCTTGGAATGACCAAAACATTAGTATGTCCATGTTTAGTGACTTCACTCTACAGTATATATACGATATATAGAAAACATTATGTCCATGTTTAGTGACTTCACTCTACTGTATATATACGATATATAGAAAACATTATGTCCATGTTT